AGTATGCTTGTGCGAATGCATTTGGGTGTGAATGGAATGTTCGTGTGTTTGTTTGTTTTCGCAATTTTCGCTTGATGCATTTGCAGGTACTCGCGCAATGTGCGCTTCGGCACAACATTGTACGCGCTATGAACAGTGCAAGCAGAAAGGACGAGCTCGCAAAGGAACCCAGGATGGAAGCTTTGCAGTTCGGTTGAGTTGATTGCGCAGATTCAGTTCTATCCAACTCGAAATTGTACTGTTTTGTTTGGTTAACTATAGTGTAGCAGGGAAGGCACTATAGGGGTACAATTTAGGTGAAGGTTGGATGTTTTTTGTCTGTATCTGCATGCTACAAGGCCAGGGGAAACCAGCAGAACCAGCATTTGGCTGGTTGGGCAAAGACAAAACAGGTTCTGTTCTGGTTGTTGTTTTCCCAGGTTGGAAAAACAGAACCAGAGGTTGTTTACCAACCTACCACCTGCTATTTTGTCCAGCCAGGTTGGTTCTGTTGCTTGGAATTATTTGGGATCATCCCTGGTTGTTCCCAGGTTGATTCCCAAGGTCCTTGCTAGCTAGAACTATTTATTCCTTCTCTGTTTGTACCTGGATATAGTCAATTGATTCATGCGAATTCCTTCCTCGCTGGAATTTCGTTTCTACGCGGTTCGTTGGCGGAATGCTACCCGAGTCAACGCTAGTACGCTAGCACTCTAATGCTAGGCAAACACCGTCCGAGCCATAACTTCGTAATGGCAGAACTTTTCGCGAGGCAACTTGGCTCATTTTAAAGCTCTTGGAGCGAGCTTCGATATAGCGAATTCTCAGCTTAATCCGATCGACGGTCTGCACGGCACGCTGCGCGACGTTCAAGGTACTCTTGTTGTTTTGACTAAGTCCTTCTTGATCCCTCTCTCTACAAACTCGGACCCGAGGATAGGGGCTGGTCTTGTACCAGGCACCCAGGGACCCTTGGAGGTGACCCCGAGGAGAGGTTTTATGTTTGATTAAGTCCTAATAGCTTGAGTTTATTAGGCCCTTACACCAACACCTTCTGGATCTGCAGCGCGCCATGCAGTACCTCGTCTCAACGCCCAAGATTGGATTGTGCTATTCAACTGCACCAACCCCATCCTTCAATCTCATCGGCTACGTGGATGCCGATCATGCAGCAGATCCCGACAATCGACGGTCCAGGACTGGCTTCCTGTTCCGACTCGAACCAACGGGACCAATCTCCTGGAATTCGCAGAAGCAGGAACTGGTTGCCCTGTCATCAGTTGAAGCAGAATTCTTCGCAACAACCGCAGCAGTTCGCGAAGGACTCTACTTGCAGGAACTCCTGCAGGAGGCGAAAATTCCAGCTTCGCCCACCTTTCGTCTTCACTGCGACAACCAGAGCGCGATTCGGATCGCGAACAAACCTGGTTTCGTTAACCGCACCAAGCACATTGCGCTGCGATACTTCTTCGTGAAGGACGAAGTAGACAAGGGCAAGGTCAACTTGACCTATTGCCCGACCGGTGACATGGCAGCGGACTTCCTCACAAAGCGATTGCCACGCCAGCAGTATCAGCACTGCTCCGAACTCAGCGGCGTGGTCAAGCAGGTCAAGTCGAGCTACGGCCAGGAGTGAAGGGGGGTGTTACGAATAGTAATATTTGTTCATTACTGTGCACTCCTCACCGCAGCAAAGGAAGCATGCAGTATCGAGAATGAACACGAAGAGTCAGAGTTGACTCGAAGCGTCAGACGGTTAAGCTGCATCTGGACCGTCGGAGCAGATGGCATCGGACAGCTGCAGGCAGGATGGCTTTGGCGGGAACAGTTTCGTAACTGTACGCGCCGCACGGTTGGGAATGAATTTGAATAAGGGAATGTACCCCTTAGAGTACATGGTTAGCTAGGACGTTTCGCCTTCCCTGTACTCATATTTATATTTGTTGTACTTGCGTGTTTTAATCATCTCAAGCATTTTACATCCACTCTGCTATTGAGATCAAGGGCCCACCAACTTCATTTCTCTGTGTGCGAACCTTCCCGAGTAGATCCTGGGAACGATCAACTTCTGATCGTAGCAACTAAGACCCAGGACGATGTAATTAGTGGAAGCGTTCTTAGTGAACTGTTTTGAATTACCTTGTGCTGGTGTATGAGGACAAGATACCGTACAGTTCCGGCTATAAGATCCGGGGGACTCTCGACAATTGCTTGAAAATATGCTAGGGTGGACATTATGGCGGTTGCAAAATTTGAAGACCCGGGGTACACCTATTTATCATTTATCAAGCTGTTATTTAGGGTGTACAGCTCAATTTCGGGCGGGGGGGTCTTATATTCGTAACGAATTCGCGCAAATTTCGCGCGAGCGACGCGTCAGATCTGTGTCAGAATTCGAGTCTGACACAAGTAAAGTGTCAGAATTCGAGTCTGACACAAAAAATCGTGTCAGAATTCAAATTTGTGCCAGTACAAACCGATGCACAATAGCAATAATAACCACTGTATACAGAAAAGGGGGGTCTTATGTTGATTAGCGGCCAAGGGGGGGTCCTCAGGTTTATCTGCCACAACAAGAGTCCTCCTACTTGTTCAAGAGTCCCGGGGGACCTTCTTACCGGCGGGTCTTCTAGCCGGAACTATACGATAAGTTGATTATAGCAAAGTGATACAAAACTTTTATACGATTACAAGGGAATATGAAAGGTTTTAACTAGCTAACCACTGATATAACTGCTACTGTTGCGGTTCGATACAGCGACGACTCGGGTAACTGCTCAATAACGAGTCAGTTACCGTATTTTCCCGCATATAGGACTGTCAAACATATATGCTGCTTATTGTGTAGGCTGTAGTGGGGTAGCCCATATGGGGTACAACCCAGATTAGGGTTTCCTACTTGTACCCATCATGCCTCTAGTTCATTCAATCCTGCCTAGACTTCTGACATGGTTTCAGAGCAGTAGGTCCGTAGGACCGTCTTTTTTTTCGGGCCCACCTACCGTTGTGGTTACTGAGCTGCCCCACGTGTTGCCTGCGCTGCGCTGCCATGCCTTGCCTGCGCTGCGCCGCCCGCGCGCACGCCCTGCCCTGCCCCGCGTTGCGCTGCCCCGCGCACGCCGTGCCCTGCCCCGCGTTGCGCTGCCCCGCGCACGCCGTGCCCTGCCCCGCGTTGCGCTGCCCCGCGCACGCTCTGCTCTGCCTGGCGTCGCGCGCCCCTGCAGCCCGTCGCGTCGCCCGTCTGCCCTGCCTCTGCCCGTCGCGTCGCCCGTACGGGCTGTCCCAGCCCGTCGCGTCGCCCGTCCGCCCTGCCTGCCTGTCGCGTCGCCCGTACGGGCTGTCCCAGCCCGTCGCGTCGCCCGTCCGCCCTGCCTGCCTGTCGCGTCGCCCGTACGGGCTGTCCCAGCCCGTCGCGTCGCCCGTACGGGCTGCCTGCCCGTCGCGTCGCCCGTACGGGCTGCCTGCCCGTCGCGTCGCCCGTCCGCCTTGCAGCCCGCGCGTCGCGCCTCTGCTGCCCCGCGCGTCGCGCCCTACGGCAGCCCGCGCGCCGCGCTCTGCAGCCCCGCGCGTCGCGCTCTGCTGCCCTGCACAAAGCGCGCCCTGCTGCTCGCGCCGCCCAGGCCGAGCCGAGCCGCCCTACCCGACCCGATCCGCCCTCCTGCTCGTGCTACTACTGCTGCTGGTGGAGGTGCTGCTAGGAGTGCTGGAGGTGCTGCAGCCTAGCCTCACCGAGCCGCTCTGCTGCTCTTACTGCTGTTGCTGCTGCTCGTGCTGCTGTCTTCCCTCCGTACCGCCCTCCTCCTCGCACGCCTCCTTGCTTACCCGCTATGACTTCCCTTCGTAGTAGCGGTGGGAGTGGTGGCGGCGGCGGTGGCGGCAGTGGGAGTGGTGGCGGCGACCATAGTTGCAGTCGCGGTGGAGCTGTTCAGTGCGGAGTTTCTGGCGGTGGCGAGATCCAGCTGCAGCGGCGTCCGAGCGAGACCCTTCCACCCCAGCAGCTTCATGCGTGGTACGCTCAGCGTTGTGCGTCTCGGAGAGGTGGCGGCGGCCGTAGTAGCAGTCGTGGTGGAGCTGGTCAGTGCGGAGTCTCTGGCGGTGGCCAGATGCAGCTGCAGTGGCGCCCGCGCGAGACCCTTACGCCCCGGCAGCTGCATGAGTGGTACGCTCAGAGTTGGGGGTGTAGGACTACTGCTCGCTGCCCGTACGTTATTCGCACAGGTGATCGAGCTGGTCAGACTTGCGGGACAGTTAGTCACACAGAGTCCCGCTGCTTCTCCCGTCTGAGCGACGCTTGGCGAGCACGGTTTGGCGACGAGACTGAGCTACCCCTCTGGCTAGAGCTGCTTCAGGACGGAGTAGATATATTTGCCTTAGACTATGACACTATCCTTACTGCCATGTATGTTTTGACTGGTACTTCTGAGGGTGACTGTTACCTGTGTGTGCTCCCTGACCCTGGTATAGCGGCTGCTGCTCTAGGTGCTAGTGAGTCTACTCTCTCTGGTACTGCACCTGCTGAGGCCTTGCACACCTTTACACTTGACTCTGGTGCTTCCCGCTGTTTCTTTCGCGACAGTACCACGGTCACACCCCTCCCTGCACCTGTCCCTGTCTCACTGGCTGACCCCTCTGGGGGCCCAGTGCTTGCACGGTCTACCACTGTGCTTCCGTGTCCGGCGGTCCCGTCTGGTGAGCTGTCTGGTCTCCACATCCCCTCGTTCTCTACGAACCTGGTGAGCAACGCCGTCCTTCAGGATCATTGGGTTGACACCTTTACTCCTGGAGGACAGCGTGTGGCGATCTGTACGTGCTCTAGGACTGGCCGCCACCTGGCCACGTTCACACGTGCGCCAGGGTCCAGTCTGTACACCCTCACCACTGTGTCGCGCTACACCCCTGTGTCTCCTATGCTGTACGCGTCCGCTCAGGTAGCTACCCAGTGTGAGTGTCGCCGCCTGTCGCACGACACTCTCCTGTGGCACCACCGCCTTGGTCACCCCTCTCTACCCCGCCTTCGTGGCATGCACTCTCGCCTACTGGTCTCTGGCCTTCCCAGGTCTCTGCCTGCCCTCCCTCCCTCGCCTGCCCCGCCCTGCATTCCTTGCGTCGAGGGGCGGCAGCGCGCCGCTCCTCACTCCTCCTCGTTCCCTCCCACAGAGGCTCCACTGCAGACTCTCCACCTGGACGTGTGGGGCCCAGCCCGCGTCCAGGGGCAGGGCCGCGAGCGGTACTTCCTGCTGGTCGTCGACGACTACACTCGTCACACCACGGTCTTCCCCTTGCGCAGCAAGGGTCAGGTCCCTGATGTTCTGATCCCCTGGATCCGCGCTGTTCGTCTCCAGCTCCGCGAGCGGTTTCAGTCGGACTTTCCTGTCTTGCGTCTGCACTCTGACAGAGGTGGTGACTTCACCTCCGACCTCTTGCGAGCCTTCTGTGAGGAGCACGGCATCCGCCAGTCGTTCACGCTTCCGGCCTCTCCGCAGCAGAATGGGGTTGCTGAGCGCCGCATTGGCTTAGTCATGGAGGTCGCTCGTACCTCCATGATCCATGCGGCGGCTCCCCATTTTCTGTGGCCGTTTGCGGTCCGGTACGCCGCGCATCAACTCAACCTCTGGCCCCGTGTCTCCTTGCCGGAGACCTCGCCCACACTGCTGTGGACGGGGGAGGTTGGCGATGCGTCGCGCTTCCGGGTCTGGGGTGCTCGTGCCTTTGTCCGTGCCCACGCCATTCCCTGCGTCTTCCTTGGTTTTCCTCCTGACGCGCCTGGCTGGCAGTTTTACGACCCCGCCTCGCGCCGTGTCTTTGCGTCTCAAGACGTCACTTTTGACGAGTCCGTCCCCTTTTACCGTCTCTTTCCCTACCGCACTGCCCCTCGCCCCCCCCCCCCCGCCGCTCTTTCTCGCTCCAGGTCCTTCCCAGGTAGACCCCCTCCCCGCGCCAGGTCCTGCTCCTTCAGGTGTTTCTCAGGTAGATCCTCCTGTGCCTGCGCCTGTTGAGGTCACTGGTGACTCAGGTCCTGCTGGGGGTAGTCCTGCTCGGGGTGCTGTCTCTGGGGGTGCTGAGCCTGGGGGTACGGAGCCCGAGCGAGAGGAGCCTGGGGGTGCTGAGCCTGGGGGTGCGGAGTCTGGGGGTGCTGTGCCTGAGCGTGAGGAGCCTGGAGGTGCTGAGCCTGGGGGTGTCGAGTCTGAGGGTGCTGAGCCTACGTGTGAGGGGCCTGAGGGTGCTGAGCCTGGAGGTACTGAGCCTGAGCGTGAGGAGCCTGGGGGTGCTGAGTCTGGGGGTGCTGCGCCTGGGGGTACTGCGACTGCTGGTGTGCGGTCTCCTTGGAATGGCCGCCTTCGTCCGCGTACGCCTCTCACCTCACAGCAGCTGCACGAGTGGTACGGTCGCCGTCAGGGTCGCGCTGCTGGGGCTCGGGGCTCTACTGCTGGAGGTACTTCTGCTGACGTCACTGGAGCTGGGAGTGGTGCTGGTTCTTTGCCTGCTGGAGGTGCTGAGACTGTGCGTGCGGAGACTGGAGGTGTTGTGCCTGGGGGTGCTGCGTCCGGGGGTGCTGAGCCTGAGAGTGCTGAGTCTAGGGGTGCGGCACCTGCGGGTACTGAGACTGCTGGTGCGCGGTCTCCTTGGAGTAGCCGCCTTCGTCCGCGTGCGCCTCTCTCCCCGCAGCAGCTGCACGAGTGGTACACTCGCCGTCAGGGTCGCGCTGCTGGAGCTCGGGGCTCTACCGCTGGAGGTGTTTCTGCTGTCGTCGCTGGAGCTGGGAGTGGTGCTGTGTCTACAGGAGGTGCTGGAGTCGCTGGTCCCGGAGGTGCTCGTACTGGAGGTACTGGAGCTGCTGGGGCTGGAGGTGCTGCGTCTGGGGGTGCTGCTGCTGGAGACACTGAGGCTGGAGACCCTAGGACTGGAGGTGTCGGTTCTGGGGGTGCTGCTACTGGAGACACTGAGGCTGGCGACCCTAGGACTGGAGGTACTGGTTCTGGGGGTGCTGCTGCTGGTGGTGCTGGCGCTGGAGGTTCTGGAGCTGCTGGAGGTGCTGGAGCTACTAGAGGTGCTGGAGCCACTGGAGCTGCTGGAGCTGCCGGTGCTGGTGCAGCTGCGCCGACACGACTGTTCTTCGCTCCGCTGTCTCCGTCGTCTCTGCCGCCGCCTGACTCTGTTCTTTGTCAGGTTCTTACCCTTCCGTCGTCTACTGGTCTTCCGTTACTGCCTGGCTCACCGCTCCCTGCTCCTCCTCCTTACACTGAGCAGCCTGGTGGTCTTGCTGAGCGTCGTGAGCCTGCGTCGCGTCTTGTCTCGCCTGTTCGTCCTGGTCGTTCCGGTCGTCGTGTTCCTCGTTCGCGTCAGCCGGCTGTCCCAAGTACACACCTCGTAGTCTGTCGTCTTTCCTCTGCTCCGCAGTCTGTTCCTCTGCCGTCTCCCCCTGCGTCCTCTCTACCTGACGTTCCCGACCCTGAGTCTGACCGGTTTCGTGCTGAGCACCCTACTGTCACGCGTCTGCTTGCCACTGTTGTCACTGACCCATCGTTTGAGTCTGCTGCTGCGTCTGCCATAGTCGCTGAGCTTGTTGACTTTGCTGCTACCTGTCGTCTAGACTACGCCGCTAGCCTTATTGCTGAGTCTGAGTCTGTCTGTCCTCCGTCCGTCTGGGGTGAGTGTGCTCTTGGCACGGACGTCCTTGAGGACAGGCACGAGGACCTTGAGTGTCTTGCAGCCGCTGCGCCTCATCTCGTGGCCATGCTGCTTGCCCCTGAGGGAGACCCGGATGCTGTAGACATCCCGACCCCGCGCTCTTACGCTGAGGCGATCGCGGGTCCCTACTCCTCTCAGTGGCAGGCAGCCATGGACGCAGAGATGGCATCCTGGAAGTCCACAGGCACTTACGTCGATGAGGTTCCCCCTCCTGGGGCGAACATCGTCGATGGCATGTGGATTTTTAGGGTGAAGCGGCCGCCGGGTTCTCCGCCTGTCTTCAAGGCTCGTTACGTTGCTAGAGGCTTCAGTCAGCGTGAGGGAGTTGACTTCTTTCAGACCTTCTCCCCTACCCCGAACAAGACCACTCTTCGGGTGCTGCTGCACGTTGCCGCTCAGCGTGACTACGAGCTTCACTCTCTTGACTTCAGCACAGCCTTCTTACAGGGCAGCCTGCACGAGGAGATCTGGCTGCGCCGCCCACCTGGCTTCACTGGGTCGTTCCCTCCTGGTACCCAGTGGAGCCTCTGCCGGCCAGTCTACGGTCTCCGCCAGGCACCTCGTGAGTGGTACGACACACTGAGGACTACACTTGCGGCTCTTGGGTTCGCTCCTTCGACTGCTGACCCGTCGCTGTTTCTGCGCACCGACACTTCGCTGCCGCCATTCTACATCCTCGTGTACGTCGACAACTTGGTCTTTGCTACTGCTGACACTGAGGCTCTCGCTCTGGTGAAGTCGGAGCTGCAGAAGAGACACACGTGCACAGACCTGGGTGAGCTGCGCAGTTACCTTGGCTTGCAGATCACCCGGGACAGAGCACGCCGCACCATCACACTGACTCAGTCACACATGGTGCAGCAGGTCCTTCAGCACTTCGGCTTCACCTGGTCCTCCGCACAGTCCACTCCTCTTGCTACAGGTCACTCACTCTCAGCTCCACCTTCGGACGAGTCTGTAGAGCCGAGTGGTCCTTACGCAGAGCTAGTGGGCTGCCTCATGTACCTGATGACCTGCACTCGACCTGACCTTGCGTACCCTCTTGGCCTTTTGGCTCGCTACGTGGCTCCTGGTCGGCACCGAAAGGTGCACATGGATGCCGCGAAGAGGGTACTGCGCTACTTGTGCAGTACATCGGGCATGGGGCTCGTGCTTGGAGGACGGAGCGACGTTGTCCTCACTGGGCACTCAGACGCTTCTTGGGTTGACGACCTGGCTACGCAGCGGTCGTCACAGGGTTACACCTTCAGCCTTGGCTCTGGCTCTGTTTCTTGGCGTTCTACTCGCTCGTCTTCTGTTCTCAGCTCCAGTTGTGAGGCTGAGATCTACGCCACAGCCATGGCTGCTCAGGAGTTGCGCTGGCTCACCTACCTGCTGACCGACTTGGGAGAGAGGCCTCGTTCTCCTCCAGTTCTGTACGTTGACAACAAGGCCGCCATTGCCTTGTGTCAGGAGCACAGACTGGAGCACAGAACGAAGAACATCGCTCTGCGTTACTTTCTGGCTCGAGAGTTGCAGCAGCGTGGTCAGCTTCGTCTTGCTCACGTGGCCACCAGGGCCAACACTGCTGATATATTCACCAAGGCACTTCCGCCTGGTGACCATCAGCGCTTTTGTACTTTGTTGGGCCTTGTGCCTACGTTTCCTCACTTGCTGTAGGCTTTGCTTGCACAGTGATTTGTGTATATATACCTGCATGCTTGCTCTTGCTAGGTAGTGATCACTGTACTGTGTTGTTGCATATATACCTTTGCATGTGAACTGGCCTTGTGGCCCTTTGCTTAGGCTCAGAATGCGTGGTGACTTTGTGATCCACCCTGAGCTTGCTTTGCCTTTCTTGACTGGTCCTGTGACCTCTTGTTCTCCCCCACTTTGCCTATGGGGGTGTGTCAAACATATATGCTGCTTATTGTGTAGGCTGTAGTAGGGTATCCCATATGGGGTACAACCCAGATTAGGGTTTCCTACTTGTACCCATCATGCCTCTAGTTCATTCATTCCTGCCTAGACTTCTGACAAGGACCCTCCCGAAAAAAAGACCCCCGGGACTTATGTTCGGGTCTGGGACTCTTAATATGAATGAAATGTGAGAGGACCCCCCCTGTGCCTATAATCATTTTAAGACCCCCCCCCTTCCCCTAGGGGAGGGGTTTCAGTTCAAGAATGCAATGGAAAACAATTTAAGACCAAATCTGCAACTAGAAATTCACTAGAATCCCTAGAAAGGCATGGCATGAGACAACTCTGGTTCAGGGAACCACAGTCCTACAACTCTAAAACTAAACGTCCTCTACCACCCCCCTTTTCCCTACTCCACCTCGTCCTCCTCCACCCCCCCCCCCACTCTGCCTCCCCCTCGATCTCCTCCTCCTCCTCCTCTCCTCCTCCTCCTCCTCCTCCTCCTCCTCCTCCTCCTCCTCCTCCTCCTCCTCCTCCTCCTCCTCCCCGCGGGCATGTCCCCACAGTCTTCGTCGTCCGCCACCCGGGCAGCTTCCTCGTCGTCAGCGGTCATGGTGTAGAGGGGATTGACCCACTCCTCCACCAAGGGGGAGGCGTGGACGTCCTCTCCCACCTCGACCTGGCTAGCATCCCGCATGTGCGCCAGGACCAGGTGGCCCTGACTACCGTCCACGGCGTTGCTGATGCCGGTGGTCGGGAACGACTTGACAATGATGTGCTCCGGCACGTCGCTCCATGCTTGAGCGATCCACTTCAGCACCGTCTCAGCGGGGGGCCTCTTCAAGTTCCCTGCGAGGGCGGAGGACGCACACAGATTAGAGTCAGTGTGTTAGGGCGAAACATGAGTCTGCACAATGCTTACAATCTCAGTTTGAACCAAGCCGCACCTGCAGGGGTGAAGCTGTTCACCCCTTCGTCGGCGAACCACTCGTTGTAGAACGTGCGCAATCCCGCCTTGAAGGAGCGGTTGATGCTCACGTCGAGGGGCTGCAGCACGGGTGTGCACCCCCCCGGGATAATGGCGGGGATCACACGGTGCCACCTCAACTTCGCAAGAATTGCGTCGGTGATGTGTCCTCTGTAGGAGTCCAAGACCAAGAGGGTCTTGGACCGACGGATTCCACGTGGCGGCTTGATGAAGGGGAGAAGCGCGTTGTTCACCCGGTCGTCGACGAGTCTGCCTTCCATCCACCCCTTCTCATGAGCACGGATAAGGACACCTGCACACGATAAACACGCATGTGCATGGTGTGTTAGTCAAAGGTACACTAGAAGCATAACACGGTTTGGGAACCAATACGAAACTTATCTGGCGGCACGCGGATCTTAGGGATGGTCTTGCGCTTCAAGATGACCGTCGCGGGGAGCTTGCGTCCGTCCGCAGTGACACCCAGCATCACGGTCACCCGTTGCTTTTCGTAGCCCGCGCTGCGGACGTGCACAGACTTCTCGCCGTGGTGGTGAAGAGTATGGTCGCACGCCATCTCCAAGAAGACGGGGGTCTGGTTCGCGTTTATGATGTTCCACGTGTCGATCCCCCACTTGATGACGTTCCGCCGTACAAACGCCCAGAATGACTCGCATTTCGGCTTGCACTCTGCAAAAAAATGGTGCCACCATGTTCTTTGTAGTGCGGCTGAACTCTCGATCTAAAGCTGCGCCAAGAGAAACAACGCTCGAGTACGATGTCTCAAGCTCGGCTGTCTGCTGGACGTGAGAGGGAAGCGTTTCGCACCACGTCTTGAGCATGCATTTTGGCTTTCCTAGAAGGAAGGGACGTGATGCATAGGGGGGTCTTGACGTGGCCAACTGAGGGCACCGCACTGTCAAGATGCCCTGCGGTTCGCCTCAAATGGTGGCACATCCGCCGTTGTGCCTCGTTCGACGACGCGTGTCACGTGCGATTTCAGGTTCGTGGTGCGCTAAGCGATGGATGTGGACGAGCAAAATTGAAGTCCCCCCCAACCCCAAAAACGAACGGTACACCCTAAATCGCATAAGTGTACGTGATTATTAAGTGTACTCGGGACTCTTACAACTCGTGCCGATTAAATGTTCACCCTAGTCATTTTGCCTCTATTTTAGGAAAGTCCCCCGGGTCTTATATCCGGGAGAATACGGCATGTGTCCTTGCTGTCGCGCTGCTTTCGCCGAGTCAAAGGTTGCTGACCTTTGACCTTCGCTCAACTTCTTGCTGTTGTCTCGTGTCAACCTCCCGAGGTTGACTCGCTTTGTTGCTTCTTGTAGTTTGTTTCGCTCTCATAGTAGTTTTCGATACTTTAGAAGCGCAAACTATATGTTTCCAACACTCCCCTTCGCTTCTGGAGTGTCGCCTTTGTTGCTGATGACGTGGCTTTGTCCAGTCAGCAACATGCAGTACTCGAACTTCTGCTTTCCGAGCTTCTTGGTCAAATAGTCTGCTGCCATCTCGGATGTGGGGCAGTAGGACAGCTCAGGTCTTCCTTTCTCGATCTCGTCTTTCACGAAGAAGTATCGCAGGGCGATGTGCTTCGTTCGGTTCGCGAATCCGTTTTTGTTCGCTATGCGGATTGCCGATTGGTTGCCGCAGAAGAGAGAGAAGCTGGGTAACTGGGCCAGCTTTGCTTCTTTCAGCAATTTGCGAAGGTATAATCCTTCTTTGGTGGCCGAGAAGAGTGCAATATATTCTGCTTCAGCTGATGAGAGAGCAATCAGCTCTTGTTTGCTCGACTGCCACGAGATAGGTCCGATAGGCTCGAGTCGGTAGATGTAGCCGGTGCGCGATCGCCAATTGTCAGAGTCGCCGGCGTGGTCGACGTCTACGTAACCGATTAATTTCAGCATCGTAGATCCCGTTTTGTGGTAGATCAACCCAATTGTGGGAGTGCTGACAAGGTAGTGTAGTGTGTGGTCGAGCTCCGCCATGTGTTCTGCTTCGGGTCGTTTGAGATAGGTAGCCAGCTGGCTTGCTGAGTACGACAGGTCCGGTCGGCAGGTGACGGCTGCAAACAGCAGACATCCTAGCTTTCGCTGGTAGTCGCGTAGGCCAGCAGATCCAAGCGGAGCGGATTCACCCTTGTGATTTCCCGCGGTGTAGCGATATGGCGTGGAGACGGTTGCTAGCGTCAATCCAAAGCGCTTTGCAATGGTGTCGGCGTATTTGGCGGCGCTGAGGTAGATCGCGTTTTCTCCGTCTTGATTGTTGAGCCCCAGGTATTGGGTTACGGTAGATGAGACAGTGAGGGTGAGGTTCTTCTGTAGCTTCCCTTCAAACCAGGTAGTGATGCTGTCGGTGGAGCCTATGTAGAGGAGATCGTCCACATAGACGATTAGCAGGATGTACTCAGCGGCCTTTGTGAGTCGGTAGATCTCCTAGTCGTGGGGCAGTTGACGGAACCCGATGCGGATTAATCGGGCGTGCAGGTACTGTTGACACAATCGTGGGGCTTGCTTAAAGAAACGGAGATTTCGCCATCGACGGGAGCGTAAACAAACGGATTGGCCACGTCGATTCGACGGAGTTTCTTCCGCTTCATGGTGGCTATCGCGAGGAGAATTCGGAGGAAAGTATGTCGGCTGGCAGGTGCGAAGGTCTCGGTGAAGTCTCTGCCGTGTTCTTGATCGAAACCGCGCACGACCCATCTTCACGCGGAAGACCCACTTTCCGGTGAGTACGGTTTTGTTGCGTGCCACTCCGATGGGCACTATCTTCCAGGTGTTTCTTTCCTCCAACGCCTTTAATTCTCTGTCCATGGCTTCGCGCCATTTTTCCCTATGCTCCCCCCCCAGGCGCCTGCTGAACTGTGGTAGGCTCCTTTGGCGGCGAAGCTCCGTGGACGGCGGTGACGAGGCCGAGTATCTGTAGTCCACTTTGTGAGAGTCGGGGGAGATTTGCGTCCTCGGGATAAACTGCTTCGTCTCCCGCTTCTGGATCAGGTAAGAAGTTGGGGCCTATGCGTTCGGAGACGTTGGTGTCGACTGGCTGGGGTGTAACGTAACCATTGTCGGCGAAGTCGTAGTAGACTTCGGCGTTGATGCTTTCGCGGGGGTTTTCATCATCCATCGGGATGGGTACCAAGCAGTAGGGCAGAGGTTCGGCTTCTTCCGAAGCTCCGTCCACGTTCTGCTCGTCCCAGTCAGCTTCCTCCGCTGACGAGGCGAAAGCTCGGTTGCCGCGGATGCCAGCTGTGGGGTCTTGGTTTGCCTCCAGGTTGGCCAGGTACGTATGAAGGGTGAGTCGCTCGTAGAAGATAACATCACGTGCTGCTACTGTTTCCTTCGAGTGGACGTCGAAAATCTTCCACGCGTTGTAATGTTTTTCGATGCCCAGGTGTAGTCCCCACTGTGCGCGTTGTGAAAATTGCCCGGCTTGTGCAGTGTGCGGTCGGTACTGTACCATGCAGCCGAAAACTCGTAACATTTTTGTGTTGCCCAATTTCCCTGTCCACAGCAGATGCGGTGATGCGTTGTTCGGGAGTGACGACGACGAAAGCAAGTTGTGCAGCATGACAGCATGGTCCATTGCTGCAGGCCACTGGTGGTCAGGTAGGAGCATGCCACGTAGCAGCTTGCGCGTGGTGTTCTGGAGGGTCCTGTTCATTCTTTCTGCTACGCCTTGCTGTTGATGGGCGTAGGGAAGGGAGATGAGTCGCTTGATGCCTCTCTCTGCCAGGTACTGCTTGAACCATTGTGACTGATATTTTCCTCCCCCGTCTGACTGGAAACTTTTCAGTTTCTCGCAAGACTCTCTTTCTGCTAGTGGGAGTCATGCGACGAAGGCTTCGAAAGCCATGTCGCGACTTGGTAGTTTGAGATGCCAGACGTATCTGGTGGCAGCGTCGATGAAGGTGATGACGTAGTTGTAAGCTCCTTCTCCGCTTTCGCGGGCGTATAGTATGTCGCTGTAGACCTTCTCGACTGGTGTGTATGCTGGTGCACTTGGGTTGTGGTGAGAGACGAACGGCTGATGGGGTAAGTCAGCTTCAGGGCAGGTAAAGCAGGTTCCACGAACTCGTTGAAGTTCTCTGCCGTCGGGTAGTAGCAGTGAGTCCTTGTCGAGTACGCCTGCTCTTATCGTGTTGTTTAATGTTGTGTTTCTAGGGTGCCCTAACCTCTCGTGCCACATTGATTCGCTGGCACAATGTCCAGGTGATCGTCGGTACAGGTCGGAGTTGGAGTAGAAGCTGGTGATGAAGTTGGCACTTCGGTGAATGGCGCGTGGGACGGGAATCAGCTGTTGTGCTGGAGTCGGTGCCGGCTCGTCGAGAGGAGGTGGTGCCGTTGAAGGACCTGCGATGGAGAGGTTTGACGTTGGTGGTGGTGTTGTTGTTGTCTCTGCATCACAGCTAGCGCTCTCGTTCGTTCTGCTTCAGGTATGGTGTGCGAGTACCAGAAACCTCCGGGGCTGAAGTCGTGATCAAGGTCTGGCGGGTGCGTCCAGGTGGTGAAGTTCACGATGCCGTTGCTGTCGGCGGTGCCTAGATCTGGGACGAAGTCGAGGACGAAGACGTTGTTCTTCAGGAACGCCTTGCCAATGTAAAGTCCTCCCTTCCCGTTGTACAGCTTGAACTCCTGAGTGGTGCTGTCGGCTTCAAGGTGAATCCCCTTCGCCATGAGTTGACTGACGCTGAGTAAGTTGTAGCCGAGTCCTTCTGCAATCAAAACTTTTGACATCTGTAGGATAACGTTAGTTTCGCGGGATTGAAGTTGAACTACTCCTTGTCGTCGTGTGCGCAGGTTTTGGTTGTTGGCGACAGTAATGACAACTTCTCGATTGAGGCGCTGCTCCCGTTGAACGAAGCGGCCTGAAGAACACATGTGTTGTCCGCAGCAGCTGTCCAAGAACCAGGTATCTTTTTCGGATGGTTTGCTCTGGGCGATGGCTGCGTACGTCGGGTTCGGCTCCAGTGATTCGCGACGAGGTGTACGTTCGTCAAGTACTTCTTCTGGTGAGTAATTTGGTGGAGATCCGGTTACGCATGAGTCTGTTCGTGTCATGCAGCTGACGATGTTCCTCGTTTCCTGTGCAGGTCGTGGTGTTGTCTTCAGGACCTGTGTCTGGTTGGACGGTTGCGTTGAAGTCACTTGGTTGCTTGAAGGTCGAAGCTGTCGTGGTGGTGGCGTTGACTGTCGCTGGTTTGGGCAGTTGACGCGCGAGTGCCCTGAAGTTCGACAAAGATGGCAGAACAGTGGTATGTGTTTTTGTGCCTGATGCCCATGTTGTCGGTTGTTGTAGTTGTTGTTGTAGCGCCTCTGAGTGTGGAATGCGAATTCCGGTACTGTCATTTTCTTCTTGTGTCGTTCCTCATGCAGGTCCATGTCTTGCTGTTCGACGTGAAGCTCTGCGCAGAGAGCTGCTTCGGAGATTTGTCCGTGGCGTCGTAGGATGGCTCGTGTGGAACGCCACTGGGTCCGAGACCTGCAAAGACGACGGTGACGAATGCCTCTTCGGATAACGTGCCGCCGCATCGATGGAGTCTGTCGCGCAGGCCGCGACACTTGCTGATATACGCCATTGCTTTTTTGCCGGGTTGCATTTGAATTGTTGTCAGCTTGCACCATGAGACGACTCTGATTAACGCTGTCATTTGCTTGATACAGGTTCGTCAAGTGGTTGTACGCGAGCTCAGCGGAGTTGCCGTATCCTCGATAAGACCGGATGTTCTGCTGCTCGTTTGCAGTTATGTTCCGTAAGAGGATTGTATATGCCATTAGTGACTGATACTTGTACTGATGCTTGTCGTATTGTGTCCTGTGTGTTGGATATGGCAGAGA